GGCATCTTTTCCGACGTTTCATCTCTCTCAGCTCCTCGGTAAACCAGGGAGCCGATCGAGATCTACATCGGGTCAGAGGCCGCAAAGGCACGACTCGGTCCAATGCTGCGGCGGCAGTTGTCTCCCAAGCCGCCGCCTGATTTTCCGCCGAGTCGTGGACCAGATCCTCCGGATATGGCCCAAGCTCCGTCAGGAACCTACTCCTCCCTCCCAAGTTCTCGACCCTCCAGGCACAATTTGGTGTTCGGGTCTTTGGGAATGCGCAGTAGCGTTCACTCCGAGAACGTTTTGCCTTACGAGATGCACCTCCATCACGACCGAGGTCCGATGTACGAGGAGCTCAATGCTTTTTTCCATAACTAGCGCCTTTCCCCCTGTTCCCACCGGCGCCTTGGGCATCGCGTTCCCCTACCGGTTCCACGGGTAACCGTGACAACTTGTAGATTTCCAGTGGACTGGAAAAAGGGAGGGGGTATTCGGGTGAAATAAACTAAACAGAAAGAGAGAGAATGGGGGGGGGGAGACACTAAATAGATCCTCGGCCTTTTCTGATATTTCCCGGTACTTTGTCCCGAGAGCTGCAATTTTTTAATTCAACTGTGAACCACTTTTCTCCTAACAGTTAAAAAAAAATCGGAAGGGGGTGGGGAATAAAAAAATAATCATTCCTATCCGTGAACTAACTGAGTGGGACATTCTTGTTTTGAAGCTGGAGACGGGTAGCCCCATCCAAAAGCCTCGAGCTGAGGCAGCGGGTTTCAATCCTTTCGAATCTCGTGGAATTCGCGGGTCACATTCGGTTTTCAGTCGCTGGCTTCTGTTTAAATGTTAAGTCGGTGGAGTTTTTATGCGCCTTGGTTTCCGCGGGACTCTAAACGCGTTTGGGAGTCAGAATATAAACCGAATCTGCGACTTCCCTGCCCCCACTAAGTACTATGAAAAAAAATCTGGTGCAATATATATGCTAACATAATTTTATATTTAAAACCAAAGAAAGGACTCTATAGCTAATAAATAGACTGCTCAGCTGAGATTTTGCCAATCTGAAAACAAAGTTTTAGATCCAGATTGGTTTTATTAGGAGAGAGGATCACATTTTTCAAAATTAAGGCGGAGGGGAGAGTCAAAGTTTCACCCCATCCTAATGGGTTGCCTATGCTGAATTATGCCTTATGGGTAAATTAGAATTTTTAAAAAAGTTCAATATGGATTTAGAATAAAACAGTTTGTAAAGGGCAGGTGATGGGAGGAGGTCCCAAAGGTTCTTTTCAAAAGGCAACTGGACTTTCTTAGGTTTTTTTCTTGAAACTGTTTTGCTTCTCAGAACTGAAGAAGCTTCTTGCATGAGAAGCAAAACGTTTTCAAGAAAAAAACTAAGGAAGTCCAGTTGCCTTTTGAAAAGCACTTTTGGGACAACCATGACCTGGATGATTGAGAATCTCCATAGACATTTGATGGGAGGAGGGTTTCCATCCTTCCAGTAGCTGAATCAAGAATTCCCCGGAAAAAGGTATCTATGCCATCTGCAATCCTTTACTGTACATATTTATCTGGGAGTTAGTCTTATTAAGTTTAATGGGGCTTACTTCTGTGTAAACATGTATCAGCTTGCACAGGTTAGGGTGTTAAAATATTGGCAAACTTTAAATCAAACTTTCAATGCAGTGGGAACTTGAAAAAGCAATAAAGGACAAACAGATGATAAATATATTCTATCTCTATGCAAGTAGGTTTTGAAACTAGGGAAATAATTTTTTAAAAGAAATGGAAAGAGGGAAAAAAAGCAACAAAAAGAATCCATATGAAATGTTAGAAATATGGACCAACAAATTTGCTGAGGTTTAAAATCGTGCACTTTTTTGATTTGGGGAAGATGGACTATGGAAACTTTCCCTGGTATTTAACAATCACTGACTTTCTGAACCACCCTTGTAAACCAAAGTAACTTAGTTTCCAAAATTTGTGTGTCATGCTGTTTTTTACTTGTTTTAAAAATGTTAATAAAAAATGGGGGAAAAGATTTGTAAGAAATGGCAAAATGTTTTGTTATGCATGGATAGGTTGGGGAAATGCAAATGTTGTGGCTCCATCCGGTGGGTCCCTCTCATCAGAGGAGGAAGGCTCTGAACATGACGGAGAGGAGATGGCTAGGCCTCTCTCTCCCGGCCCTTCCCCTCTGGTGCAGCCTTCGGTGCCTTCCGACAGCGAGGAGTTTGGCCAGGAGCCCGGTGTTTCTGGGATTGGCCAGGAGCCCGGTGTTTCTGGGATTGGCCAGGAGCCCGGTGCTT